TTCCTTCACTTTTGTCCTTCAAACGTCTTTGAAGTGCTAATCGCAGGAATTCGGGTTACTTTGATCAACTATAAGCCACTATGACAAGGCACGATTCCGAAAACCTATTGTTACATTGCAGTAATAAGTCAAGATGTCTGTACTTTTATTGCTAGCTGCAAATCTGTCATTGGAAATATGTGTGCAGGCTTTACAAGCTAATATTTCACCATCAGCGCAGTTTCTCGACCTTTTATGAGACTCGTAGATAGGCCTGCTAAGTTAGCAGTGAGAGATTAGAAGTGATGTCACTAAAATCTTACAAAGGATGGTGAGAAAACATCTAACAAGTAAGTTATTGGTCTAGAAAGTTACACATTGAACTTTGAAATTTTGAAATGACAGTTATAAAAGCCATTTTCAAAGACGGCATTTTCAACTACTTTATGCATGTTTATCATTGCCTTCTTTTGGTGCAACATTTCCATCACTAAAAATCACCCTACAATTTGAAACATATTCCATCCCCAAAGATCTCCCTACAATTTTGATAGACATGGAAGTCCTACTTAAAGCTATTGAAGCTTGTAAGATTGCTGGGACAAACTATAATTCTGAACATGCTAAGTTTCTGACTTTTCGAGGGTGCTCGTAAGTTTACCTTGGGCATACCAGAGTAGGAATGACACTACTCTTCTTTTCAAGATCTCAACTCAAGCACAGCAAGATGTCTCGCTCCACTTTTAAACAACCTCTCTTCTCGGGAAATGGCTGACAATAATTTACCGCTTCAAAGTTTCTGCGACAGAAGTTTTGAAACTCCACGACTCCATTTTACACCCCAGGTGATTTCCTCTCAGCATAAGCTCCTGGACTTTAATAACGGGAATTTCTGCCGCTAGAATATGACGTCTGTTTGTCACCGATTCCCGAGACAGCTCCATGCTGATATGGAGCAAGCAGAGAGAACTATTTTCCATTGATTCCCCATATATTCCTAAGAATTAAGCTGTCCTTGAGACACTCTCAAGGTGGGATTCGAAGCCACAGTAATCCCAGCTCCCATGCACCCCCCCCACCCACCGTGTAAGAGATATATTACAAATTGCAGCAATTACAGCAGAAAGGAATGCAGTCCCAGGATAGCAGACCGTTATCGATTTGCGCTGTAAATACTCTGACAATAAAGACTCGGCGACAACTCCTCTGTTCTGATTGGAAATTCTGTATCAGATGAGGTTACTGGGCTGGCACCCTGCATAGTACGTCAGAATGGTTCGGCAACTTGCTGTGAAGATTACATTGCTGAAATAACTCAGCGACTAAAAGGAAACTATAACAGTTTACTTTTTACCTAACAAAAAATAATCTCATACAATAGCACAATGACCTTTTTTGTCCCATATGAAGGCTTTTTGAACACAATTTTAGCGATTTTTTTCATCTCTGCTGAAGCCTGTAACATTGAATCATACCTTTCTTGCTTCTCCAAGACCAAGGTTTCCATCCATGATCAAAGCTACTATCTGACCTTCTGATTATTGAACACTGTCCTCTGTACACACGATTAATACGCTCATATTGCAGATAGATATCAGAGGGTTCAGATAGGTCATTTCACCATTTAGTGGTCCCTAAGTTCCCATCCTGACACATAACTGATATCTGGCATTTACAATCTGCAGGGTGGGAGATAGGCCTGTATATCTTCTAGCCTCACTCAGGATGTTCCCTAACCTCAGGCCATCTCCCCAGGCAGCACTGAGGGAAGCTGACCATCTATACTGTAGTGAATGATCAGCATTCATCAAGTACATCTTGCATTTCATTTGCTGATGTGGCGGATATAGATAGCCTGCTATGCCAACAACAGTCGAATGACAAACCATCTCGAAATATATGGTGGGTATGAGAAAGTGAAAAATGCTACTAACTGTGAAAAATTTGACAGAAATACAGGTCTGCATTAAAAAAAATCCTATTATTTATGTTAGCATTGTGCAATACTGGGAATTAAGCAAAGTTTTATTCTTGAGAATAGACATTCAATAATTTTTATGTACTGCTTGAAAGGTTGGCCCTGTCCTTGGTGCTGAATTCTGGAGTGAAATATAAAGTTGTATCAGTACTACAAAATGTACCCATCAGCCTGCTTAGGTAGCCATTTGGCACCAACATTTGTATTGGTCACTGGGCTAGGCAACAGGGAAGAGGATAAGGTGGTACAGAAACAGTGTTTGGCTGCAGCAGACGTGCTACCTTTGAGAGATGTGCCAGCTGTGTACTCTCTTTATCACTGCCATTATGGTTTTCTCAATCTATTGATTATTGGGTCAGCCAGGGGTCAGACACATCAAACCTGGCCGTGTCCTGGAGGTGGCAACTCTCCATCTCATTCACCAGGGCAGGGCTGGAAATATCACCTGTATACGCATGGTAAAACAAGCTGTGCCGGTATTTCTGTATCTGTATCTGTATCAGTATAGCCAGTATGACCACCCTTCAGCGTAACACACCAGCTTCGCAGGCACGCGGCGCGGCGGCGGCAACTAGCTATATCACACCGAACGACTTGTTACACTCAACCTTTGCACATTTAATTGCAGGAGTTGTTTAAAGATTTCTAGTGATGATACCCCTACTGTGCCTGATGTCTACCTGCACCTAACCCACGTCCATGTACTGGGTTTATAATTATTACAGGACCTTGTGCATGTGGATTTTTCATTTGATTGTTACCACCTATGAGGTGCAAAAGAACTAGATCAAAATTATAGTAATGATGGTTTCTGAAGCTTTTATTGTGATAATTCGTAAATTCTGAGTGGTGCAGGTAAAATTTGTCTGGTACACATGATGTTAAATGCTACCTGCACCAGTACAGGAGTGCAGAAAAAGTATTTTGAGCCCTGTTCACACTTGACAAAACACTGACACCTATGGGTAGAATATAGTCAAGAGAACCCTATAGTGTAAAAAGCAGTGTAAAATTTTTGGTCTGACTTGTTTTATAGCAAGTAGACAATGAAGTGTGAAAGATTCTCAAAATCTGAGGTCACCCTATACAATGTACATCCAGTTGTACAACAGTTTAATCTGCAGAACATAAAACAGTTCATTTACGTTATAAAAAGACTTACAAAAACGGCCACAAAGTGAATTTTAAGGTGAGAAAAATATGTATAGAGTAACACCCAGTGAGACTTTAGAACAGAAGTGCAATGCTGAGGAATGACTTTGGTAAGACTTGGGATTGATTCTCGATAGCCTGGAAGTTGCTGGTAGCAGGAAATACGTTCTCCTGGCTTGCCAAAACCTCTGCAGGACTGTTAGCTTTGGGATCGCCAAGAATTGATCAGATCCAGGACTCCCCAGAAATGTAGCACGGCCAAATACATTGATCTGTAGACCCAGGAGAAATCAACTGTTAGGTGAGAGTGATTGTCATCCTGATTTGAGGCAGGAGACATGAGGTATGGGCTCCATCATGCCATTTGTTTGAGCCGTGTGCTACACGTGCGGGAGACCCCGTAGACTGGTCCAATCAATCTGCCCAAAAATTTGTGTGAAAAACTTCGCGGACGCGGACTGCCCTGCCAGCGCCATCGATCAACCACCTATATTCAAAATAGTAACATTTCAAGACGACCCTTCCAAGCCCTTTTCCCTGGAAAGGTCAGGAAGATTTGCAGCCAATTTTCTCCTGAAATTGCCATCCAGGAGAGCAGGCAAAGCAGCACTATAACACGACATCAGGACGCCAATTTATTCACCTAGCCCTTTCAATCCTTCGCCTTAAAAGGTCCCACGTTTGGGAGATTGGTGTCAAATTTGGAGAGAATTATGATCCGAGACGAGGCCCCGTGGGCACGGTGGTACTGTAGATCTATCGGAGTGACAGTGCTCCCATAAGCCAACCCTTAATCTGTCCCGACCCTACCATAACCCTTGCCTACACACACTACTGTTTCATGCATGGCTGTCCACCAGCCTGGGCATGGACAGCCTGCACCAAGGCCATACAATCACTTGTAACCACTGAGGCAAGAGAGTGGAAGTCAGTTCAAGTTTTTCTGAGGGGCAACGTTGTAGATGTAGTAGGAAGGTAAATTAAAAAAAAGTTAGGTGGCATCTTTTCAGAAATAAAAAACCACAAGTTAGAGAGAGGACTTACCTACATGTAAGAGGAAAGGAACAGTAGTGACTATTGAGCAATCAGGTTATGATTGATACACCTGTACAAGAAAAACTGCTGCATCCCATAATTGCATTATGGAGGCAAATTGTGTCACTATGTCCCAATTTACGCACACGGGCAAAAACCGTACGCATGCGTACGACGACTGTATACACCAAAATTTTCCTGAGTGTAAATTGCATGCTACATCGAGAATGTACATTCAGATTGTATGTTACCTCGAGGGCTAGCATACGTTCTTTGTATGTCAAATCAGTTCAGTTTTTTGTATGCTTGGGTGTGTTCACAGTTTTCATACCCTCAGGTTTTTGCCGTCCTGAAAGGAAACGTTGATTTGTCAGATGCTACCTAACTGACACACTTGCAGCTAAGTGAGAAGGAGGGGCGGTGCTCAATTTGTGACCTAGGAGTTTGGTACGACTTGACTACCATTAGTACGACTTTATCTCCAACACTACCATATGCCAAAGACCTGGCCAACTGCCTGTCTCTTATAAAATCAGACAGGCTCCCCTACAACTCTTTGGCCACCTAGCCAGGATGACTTAAGCTGCCAGTCTACTGAAGGAAGCCATGCCTGCAGGCTGGTCCAGACCCAGAGGCAGACCCAGAGGCAAGTGGTAAGACGAGCTGAGTGCAGACCTGAGCACTGCGGGTCAATGTAGCCACAGCCTGGCAAGGAGCACAGGACAGAACTGGCTGGGAGACAACTTGGCGAGTTGCTACTCTCCCAGGATCATGCTGTGTTTTGAGTGAGTGAGTGGGTGTGTTTGTGGTGTCAGCCTCGCCTACCATGGAAAATTAAGCTAACTGTTGCACCCACCTTGTTCTCCGTCATGACGTACAAGTTCTGTGGGTTGAAGGCATCAAACTGCATGTCCTGCTGAACCCTGCTTCCCTGGACCACGGTTATCTCCTCATACGGGTTTGCAGCATCTCCATTCCACACCAACACCTGAAACACACAGGCAAGCAACAACATCAGAGTCAGGGGGTAATTTCTGCTTTGTAACAAGTACTCAACAGCTACTGTGCAGTAGTTGCTACTGTCACAGTAGCAGTATACAGCATATCTTCAAGCAGCTCTGTCAAGCAGGTCCACACCAGCAAGAACTTTATGGAGTGTGAGTGGTTTAAATAGTTTAGAAGGCAAAGCCAGACTACACCCGATCTAGTACCTACTGCAAATATCAACTAGCAAGATATCGCCCAACCAGTCGGTCCATTTCGACATTGAGAATAACTTAGAGTTGCTCAAAAATTGGGCATTTGAACAAAATCTAGTATAGTATGGTTAAGCCTGGCATAGAGTAAAATTGATCAAAGCTTTCACACAGATTTCCATAATTTTTTAAGAGTATCAATTATGTATCAAAAATTTTAACTACACATGAATCCTACCTTGATCAGTTTGCCATTGGTTGTCCCCAGGAAGGCTGTGGTGTAGCCGTTGACAGTTGAAGCAGCGACACTCGTCAGTCCAGTTGTGGGGAACTCTGCCACAGCTGTACGGGTCAGAGCTTCTGTTCCTCCAAACTGTTTTGCGGTAAAGTCTGCGCCGCATGGAAATCGTTCAAGTAGTTCCTCCTGAAGGAAAAGAAAGTTCAAATATACTAACTACTAAGATACACAATGGACACAACAATTTTGGGTTATTAAGTACAGTCAAACCTGTCCAAGCCAGCCACCCAGGGGACCAAAGAAAAGTGACCACTTGAAGCGGATCACCTCTCAACATGACTGAGACATAAATGGTTTACAAGTCGAGATGTTTTAATATCAAATGCTGTAAATGCATGTGGGGAGGGTGGCACATGGAACAATTTACCTCGAGCAAAAACATCATCCACTAGTCGAGGCAAACTGGCTGGTTTCTCCATGATTTCTCATTAGTTATCATCAATAATCAACATGATCAAAAATGATGTGGTCACTGGCCCTGAGCGGACCCAACTGAGGATGGTCACGGTCGCGTTGGCCAGATGGTCACCTGGTCACCTTGGACAGGTTGCTTAATGCTTGTGTCAATGGGGAAAACTTTTGGGACCGAGAAAAAGCATTCACCATGGATAGGTGGCCATTTTTAAGAGTTGGTCTCCTTGGCAGGTTTGACTGTACTGTAATTCCTAATTTTTTCACAATACTTTTATGGTCACTATTTTCACAGCCACTCCTGTACAATGAACTTATCATTACCATTATCAAACCACCCCACATCCCCCACCATTTAATGAACATGACCGTTTTCCCTCGACCATAAAATTTCGCTACCTTGAAGACAAAGTGAACTACAGTATTCTTCAAGTGGTCTATTCTGACGACAGTTTCTAAATGTCACACTGGAAACTCAGACTCTTGAATGGTGTGAGGCATTCAGTAAATTAATACCATGCAAAATGGACTACAGCCCTGTAACACTACATAATCTACAGTGTAACAAGCTTTACTTGTTTAACAATATTATCAATGTGATACAATATCAATAGAAATGTGTATACCCGTTGTTGGAGGCAAGTACCCCCACCAAAATCAAGTGGTTCAGCAATACCCCCGCCTTCTTCTGTGTAGCAGGCTTTCTGGACTTTGTTGAATTCTGCATCGATTTCTGACATGGAGAAGACACAAAGGGCAGAGCTTTCCAGGGGTTCTTTGCCAGATGGAGTTTTACTGGCTGAAAACACACCAAAAAGCATCTCATCATCTTCTGGAAGGCCCATGTTCTGTGCAAGTTTCTGTCCTGGCTTGCTGACGTACACGGCCTGTAAAAGGTTGTAGTTGGTTCCATTCTGCCCTAAGCATTTCAAAGGTATCTCCATGTAGGAGTAGAAGTTGGCATCTCCTATGCACAGTCGAATGAGTTTTGACCAGAACGGAGGTGGATCATCACCAGGTGTTGGGATTCTTTCCATCTGAAATGTTGCAAAGTAGGCATGGTTTTTACTGCGAAATCCGTGAACATAGCTGATCAAATACTGCTGCCTGGACTCAGATCTGACCATAAACTTAGCTTTGTCATCATTCACGACCTTGAAGATGTCAGAAGGTTCTAAAGACCGTATGGAAACAGCCGGAACATTCTCCCTGATGACATGATGTTCGCCATATGTGCTTCCGACATACAGCGCGTTTTCCTCGTACGGCTGTGTTCCTGGTGCCACAAACCCCACTGTGGTATTTGAGGGGGAATTGGTGGCAACGTATCTAGAAAAATCAGGGGTGTATTCCACGGAGATCTGAGTGACATCTCCCAAGCTCCTCACTTGACAGATTCCCTGGTACAACGTGCCACAAGTAATCAAGTGACCGCCCTGCTGGTCAATAGCCAGAATCTTGTTCACGTTGGGAGTTTCTACTCTATCTGTACATGTGCTGTCCCCCTCTTCCTCAGGTCCAGGACAGTTCACACTGTCTAACCGCGGCCCTGTGGACTGTGTCTTCTCTAGGCTTAGCTGCCGGTTTAACTGGTACAAATTGTTCACTGCTCCAATGTAAACCCTGCCAGTCTGGTTGTCCACTGACAGGTGGTTGAGGACGATGTCTGGCGAGGAGGGAGAGAATGTATTGTAGACGTGGAGACCCTGCACGACAGTCCCCAACTGTAGAACCAGCTGGAGGAAACCTAGCAGCAGATTCAACCGCTCCATACTGACGAACTCTGTGTGAAAACATGAGAGGGAAATATTGATTAATGAAATGAATTGCCATCTTGCCCTAAAGATATTCATGTGAAAACATTCATGTTCTATCTGATTCAGTTATCTTTGGAACTGTCTCTCCTTTGTCATCGCATTTTGACAAAGGGTGAAGATAAATTCCTTTTAAAGTTGCTACTACTGAATATACAACTAACAAGTTACGTGATTAAGTTCTGAGCTCACACAGTCTTAGTTTTATATGCTACAGCTAATAATACTCAGATAGACCCTCCAGCATGTCAGGATTAGGTAGGGGAAATTAGAGTCATCAAACTCTGCACAACTTAAGCTCCTCTATGCCAAGTGTTGACTGGAGAATGTATCTCTTTCTGGGCTTGAAACACTTTTTTCTGCATACCTAAACTAGAAAATTCCCACATAAATTTCACCTGCACCACTCAGAATTTAGGAAGTATAAAATACAATGAAAACTGTTCAGATACATTGAAACTGTAGGCAGTATCAGTCAATACACAATCATAACAATCCACATACACCTACAATGTATATAATAGAACCCAGTTCATGAGTTGTTGCAGGTTAGGTGCAGGTAGACATCAGAAATACCTGCACAGTCCCAATTCTACCTGCACTAACCAGCATATGCCGGTGGGATTTCTAGCCCAGCTCTTAGAACATATCACCTGTCATGCCACCGGTGACAGCAACAGCTTTAAAGTAGTGTTTTAACTAATGGACATGGCATTCACACAGCTTAAGTATCATCTGCTGTGAAATTGCTTCTGTACAAACCCCACAAGACGTAACGCCATTATACAAACTGATAGACTGTCGCCCAGACAGTTAATGTTCAACCTTCTGTGTTAATCAGAACAGAGAGCCTGTTTATTTTGTACCAATCGACGATGTACTCTTGGGATTAGCTATGAGCTGGAAAGTAATGGCTTCGGCTAAATATTCCCGACATTTCAAAATCAAGCCTTCATATTCATAGCTAGAATAACAAGGAGCAAATCAACGAAGGATGGTTGGTACAAATGACAATTACGCACATTGTCATGCGCTAGCAATTCTTTTGTTGTACAATGTACTACTAAAATTTGACTCAAATATCAGCAGGGTTGCTTTTTAAGTACCATTAATAAAGGTGACACTATTATTTGTTCATTATAGTAGCAACTTACAATGCACAAGATATCTGGATTATAACTTTACAGATGTTAGAGATAAAAAGTTAAAAAGCACATACAAGAATATTGATCCAAGCAATTCCAAAGTAAAAATTCCGCATAACAACACAATAACTTACGCCTTATTTGTCAGTCAGCATATCAACTTTGTGATAGAATTATGCTAAGTTTGATACTATACAGGCTACAAATTCAGGATAGGGAAAAGGGCAATTGCTCAAAATATGATTTGGGAATTAGGTCATTACAGAACATAGATATAGAAATAGATCAGTCATACCGGTAGATACAGAAATAGATCACAGATATAGATCAGTCACTGGAAACAACATATCTACCAAAGATTGCCCTAGTACACTGATATAGCTATTCTTGACTGATAAATTGAGTGAAAATCAATCATCTAGCCTAAAGATAAAGCTAGTCAATGTGAAGAGCTTGTAGTGCTGAACATGACAACTGATTAATTAGCACCAAGGACAGTCACCTGATTTATCATAACTTCAGCTCTGCTGCCATCTTTAAATCGTAAATTCAAATATTTAAATCAACCTGCTGAAGATGAGAGTTGAATCTAAGAGGCACATGTAGCATGGTTGGAATTGTGCACATCCAGGGTTTGAAATACCTATATCTATATACCAGTCTTATGTTCTTGGAATCCAGGAAGATTACAGTAGTTGCACAAAAATTTGTGCGACTAATGGATATCCTAATAAAGTATCAAGTATCAAGTATCCTGCACTGGTGCAAGCAACATTGAAAATTACCTGCACCAGACAAATTTTACCTGCACCACTTTTTTACAATTTAGGCAGTATGGACCATACTAAAAACTGTTTGGAAACCATGATTTTTTAGATGGTAACAGTCAATGTAACAAATAAAAATCCACATACACTTAAATGTTGATTATATAAACCCAGTACATGGACTGGTGCAAATTAAATGCAAGTTAACATAAAAAATACCTACACAGCTCCAGTTTTACCTGCACTAACCTGCATATGGAGGTAGGATTTCCAGCCCTACCCAAGGAGCCCTACCTGAGATATCTGTAATGATCATGTTTGTACCACGAATGCCCCTAAGATGTTTTCTTCTCGATAGATTGAATCCATGTCCCCCGTGGTGCGAGCGCTAGCGCAATCAAACTGTTTCGCCATACGGATCAAATTCTGTGGATTTGTTGGCAAGGGTTCAATTCCAGGGTTGGCCAACACACTTATTGTGAAGAGTAGGGGTGAACAAGCCAAAGCAAATGCACACTGCACTTCTAGCTACTTGAAAAAGCATCACGATTCACCTCAGTTGAGGATAACTGCTCAAACTTTTTTTAGGCCACACCAATTTAATTTGTTGCTTCTCGGATCACCCTGTCCATTTTTTTCCAATTTGCAAAAAAAAAAAATTTTTTTTGGTTCTAAATCAACTGCAAAATGCTCAATGAAAGACATATTTTGTTCCCAACTTTTGAAGAACGTCCTTTTCCTTCTACTTCCAAGTTTTTCAATATAACAATGCAATTTTGTTTCACTAAAAGTTCAAAATCTATCGTTTTAATTATAAACCAGCCTGGTATGTTGACTTCATGGCTCATATTGTAACATTTCTGGCTATCAAGGGGTGCCTTGGCCTGTTTTTTTTTTTTGCCCTGTCACTCCTGATTATGAAACAACAAATTAAACTGGTGTGGCCCTATCTACCAATAACTACCACACAAAAACTCCAGGGCTGTTAACTACAATTCAGCAATTTTCATTTATGTTTAGCATACATGTACTTGCAGACAAATTGGCAATATTCCAGTCACTAGACTGATTAATTTGGATACAAAAGGGATTCGAAGAGCCAGGAATTCTGATGAAACAGACAAGCTATGATGCATGGCTCAGAATAAGACACTGAACATTCACAGATATGTTCCGAACTCACATCATTAGTTACACTTATCTTCTTTGAAGATTTTGCTGCCAGATATGTCAAATATGTATGAGATAGAAGGGGAGTAAAAGAACTTCACTAGCTTTTATTCCAGAATGGTCAATAAATCCCTCCCTCCTACCAACTTGGGCTACTGCATCTATGCTGGGCTACAATGCTGTGTAAAATGAGTCCAGTTCTATGGCAAGCTAATAGTGATACAGACACTTCAACGAAACCCTACATGTTTGTCTCTTAGGCAACAAGCATTTTCAACGCCTATCATTCCAAGCCCTACAGAGCCAATAACCATCAAGAGTACAGCCTATACCTGCCTCTTGAGTATGACTTGAAACAACCTCTTACCTTCCCTGAGCTTTGATGTCAAGTTGCCTCCCTCTTGTCACATCTGTTCACCATCCATTGCCCCACAACAAATCCATCCATTTCCCCACAACAAAGGGAAAACCGATCAGGGCCAATGAATATTTCAAGGACAGGAAATGGGACGAAATGCTTCAATGTCAAAGTATCTTGCAATGGATCGTCCCACTATCACTATTGACCTGAATCTTAAAATATTCAACTCGAGCACCTTACATAATACAAGGGGGGCCCTATGGCTGCATGTGACATTCACACACTCAGTTTAACTTAAAACTTATCTTCCAATTCTTGTTCCCATCTTAATTGCAATCTAATGTTCATAAGCTAAAACCTTTACAACAATTGGCCACATGAAATTGAAGCTCAACGGTGATACCTTTTCGCAGGTAGAAAGGACTGTGTCAAACAGACATTGTGATAAGAAGGATGATCCTGGATTACAGAATCTATATTTCCATCAGCAAGGTTGCATTCAAGGCTGGCCTTTCAACATCACCTCCCTTGCTAACAATGTGAAACCCATGGGGGGAAAAGGAACACTTCTTTCACCTGCAAAAGATTGCTTCTCGGTCGTGCACAACCAGGCTGATGGATGTGTGGGTGTTACTAATGCTCCCGCGGAAAATCCTCTCAAGACTGGATTGAAAGATGTTTAATCATAGCCCCAAACCATCACCTAACATTCAGAGCCACGCGCAGGGATTGGACAGGAAGTTCGACCTACTGTCTCCCTTGGATATCAGGCCTGTAGCTGCATGATAAACAGCTATGTCCCAGACTGCTCTTACTAAAGGCAACTCCTAGGGAAATGTTGAGCTTGGAGAATAGCATCGACCAGGCACACCTTACCATTTGAGAATAGCACAATTCACTGTGCAACTTTTCTACTCTGTAACTTTTCTGAACTGTATGATATACAGCTAAGCCTCCACTGCTCTTACTATTAGGCAACTCCTAGGGAAATGTTGAAACTTGGAGAATAGCATCGACCAGGCACACCTTACTGTTTGAGAATAGCACAATTGACTGTGCAACTTTTCTACTCTGTAACTTTTCTGAACCGTATGATAAACAGCTAAGCCTCCACTGCTCTAACTTGGGCAACCCATTGGGGAATGTTGAACTTGGATAAAAGCATCTGCCAGGCACAATGAACTGTGCAACTTTTCTGCTCTGTAACTTTTTTGTCAACAGCAAAGTTCCCTGTTGCTGTACTATTGCTATTAAACTTTTCAAAACCAGTACACAAATCTTTGTTGTATTTTGCTTCAACGACTGTGTATTAGCTATGGAGGTATTGCATTAACTGCAGTCTTAAATGTGACCTGTATATGAGAAGTGCTTGAAGTAATTGTCTTAACTATGAAACAACATGGCTACATTTTTTTCACAGCTATTCTTCATAAATATTTTGCATTCCTTCCTCATCACAAATATAAAAGTACAGTGCACTTGAGCACTAAACCATGGAATATAATGCTTTGACAAACAATTTAGGG